TCTGTCTGCACCACACATCTAGATGACTTAAAAACAGATTTCCATATATTTTCCCAACAGTGGAGGGGTATGGGCTTCTGTAGAACACAAGACCATTTCTGCATATAGCAATGGAGATCAGCAGTGAGAGGGGTGGCTTTGTGTAGTAATATAAAATAGAGGAAATTAAGGGGAGCTGATAAGGACCCTGCAGATGTATTCAAATTTGGTAGGGCTGTCTAAGGTAAGGGACAGGGATAGAGATGAGAAATAGCATCTAATTTGGAGATAGGAGTAATGAATTTGTTTGGGGATATGATATTTTGTTTGAAAGTCTCCAAAAGATAATAGCTTGCGAGATGTGGGATTAACAGAGTGACATAGCTGAAATGAAGTAGTTTGAGCCCAAGAAGCCATGCGCCCATAGGAAATACTATCCGGGATAAGAGGCTTAAAAAGTACGTTATAGGGAAGGTGGCATGGTGAAGAGACCGAGTACTTCTAATAAGTAGTTCACCAAATTTGCATAGTAAACAACATAGGAGCCAGACAAAAATGTTTCAGTACAATATCAGTATGAAGAGATGGGGACCAAACCAGAGAACAGGAATGCACAGGCTAAAGATAACCCAATTCAATTTCTGAGCTTCTATTAGGGGCATATTAGCCTGACCAAGAGGCAATGGTGCATAGGTGTGTAGCGTAATACTATTTAATGATGTCAGGGGCCCCCTATCCCTCACGAATTCAGAGGGATAACACTTCAGAGCTAGCAATACAGTGGGCTTTGTTATGCCAAATAAAGTTAAGGAACAAAAGTTTAAGAGTTTTAAGCTGGGACATAGGTAATGTAATTCTTCTTTGAAAAAAGCTACCATGCTGTAAACTCTGTTACACTGCTCTCTGGGTGAGGCAGCCAGTGATGTAGACAAAGTCAGAATTGCAATAGCAAATGCAGTGGGCAGTATAGAGTTGATTTACTAAAACTGGTGAGTGCAACATCTGGTGCAGCTGTGCATGGTAACCCATCAGCTTCTACTTTCAGTTTGTGCAATTAAACTTTGACAAAAAATAACAAAAAAAAATGTAATCTGATTGGTTTCTATGCAGAGCTGTACCAGATTCTGCATTTTCCACTTTTGCTAAATCAACCCCTTATGTGGTTCTGTTAACGCATGTGGTGGCAGCTACTATTTATATTTTGTAAAGGGTTACCTTCATAGTTAACCTGCCCTAGCGATGATCAATCTCAGTCTGCTGGTGTTTACATTGTTGTTTCGCAAGCTGGACAAGGGCGAGGCTGGAAGTGAAATACCTCTATGATTCTGAAGCTCTTTTGCTCAGTATTCGATAACATGATTTCTTGCACATTCTCTTACAGCAACTTACTGATGGTATGCTGAAATAATGCAGTCACATTTCCTATGTTAGTTGCTGAAGCTTAGCAGTCGAGGAGGAGGAAGACAAGAGGACCGATTTGCAGCTGTGTTGAAAACTGTCTGCTAAGTGCCTGGGAGGAGGAAGGTGAGGATGGCTTGGGAGCCATTCAAATATCTCCTCCATGTACTTTAGCTGTATAGCACTCCTACTGGCAAAAAAAAGGTAGACATGTCCTACATCTTAACGGTGAGGCCCAACTGCTGCTTTGTCCTGTAGATGCAGAACCTGCAAACCCCCTACTACCCTTGCATGCAGAACCTCTGCCTCTCCCTTTGGGCCTGCCTGACATTATGAATTCAGAGGATTGACTACATTTATTATGATCTATGGTAGTAGGGGGTAATATGGATGTGGTACTTTGGTGGACTAATGATGTGGTGATTTGGTGCACAAAACTGTACTATGCAAGTAGGTGGTGACGTACAACAAACAAACAAACGGCAGTTTTACCCACGGCAGTAACAAGTTTATAGTGATGACTATCAAATAAAAAGTTATATTGAAATAAAATAAATCTCTCAAAATAAATAAATAATAAAATAAATCCCTAAACACAAAACCCCAACCCCAAATATAAAAACTATAAAACATAATAAAATAATGCAAGGGTTTGAGGTTGAGGGGGGCAGGTTCTAAACAGCAACTGAAGTTATTGCTGACATACACAAAAATAATACTCCTAAAAAAAAACTTTTGGGTCTATGCACTGTGAATACAGATGTACAGAATGTTATGCAGCCCAGCAAACTTCATATCATAATAATGCAGCACAATACAGCACTGTGTATAACACAATGAGGCACCGCAGAGCACTGTAGAGTGCTGAATAGAGTACTGTATAGCACAACTATCTCTCCCTGCAAAACTGTATCACTGTCTACTCCAACACACACTGGAAAAATGCTACGGGAAATATAGAGCGCAAAATCTTCATTATTGGCCCTTCTAAGCCACCTTACCACAAGGCCAAGAAGTGCATTAATACTAGTTGGCTGCTATGACAGACAATGACCACAATTAGTTTGCCAGCTCTGCGAACTGCAAACATGCTGGATTCGCCTTGCAAACATAATCAATCTGGATTTGAAGCTCATTCCTGAATTAATTCAGTTGCACATAATTTGGATATTTAAAGTGAACACAGTTACAAATGTTGGAGTGCAGACTATCAACTTTTTACATAAATGAGCCCCAAAGTCTCTTTAATTCTAGGTTTTGCTTATTTTGTCTACTCAAACCAGCTTCACTAGCTATAATTTAATAAAAAACAAACAAAATAAGATGAAGTCATTAAATGTTTATGGGTTAAAGCGATGTTCATTTTTTTAGAAATAAACATCTTAAACATTAGTTTATATAGTGGGAGACCTGAGCTAATTACCACATAAATAGAATACAAAGGTGACTATGAACTAAATAACAACAGCAAATTATTTAGCAGTGTATTGATTTCACATTACACCACAATTATTTCTTATTCAATGGGAATTCATAGCAAAACTCTGCAAAGCCATGGGCACAAATTTCACATATTTATGCAAAACTTTTTATCAGCATTGAGAAGCAGAAAATGGTTTAAGGCTGATACTCATCTTTGCCTTCAAAATTATATAAAAATGCAATTGATTCACAAATTGTTTTTTTTTCTTATTGATGCCACAGAGAACAGTTCATACTTTGAATATGAGGAATATGGAACATTTAATTAACGTATATCAAAGAGCTTTTGTGGAATGTATTGTTTGTTAAGAAAAAGCAGGGTGTGATATAAAACTTTATCTGTACTGAAAATAGTTTCTACTGTAAAACTGTTTTAGTGCATACATCTTTTTTTTGCATCTTTCATAACAGTGATTGAGTTTATTTTTATTTTTTATTTATGAATTATTTAAAAGTGTTTACATTTCTATACCTTTTTTCTAAAATATTTGGGGCATGATTTGTCAAATCACTGAACCTGGATTTGCCTCAGTCAAGCATCTTAGTTATAGGGAGTCGCCACAGTATGTATCTAAATGAAAAGTTGACATCAATAGTCCTCTCCAATTTCCAAACCAAAGCCCTTCCAAACTGAAAGCAGCTGGCTCAGGCTCTTAGCGGTTTGCTGAATGGCTGAGCCAGCTGCTGGTCCAGGTATCTGAGTGGATCGTGATTTTAAAGTTGGGATCTTTCCAGAGCCTGGACCAGCTCTGTGACATTCACCAACAGAGGTATTTAGCCCACTGTCAGCTGAAAACTGGACACAGGAGTTCAGAATGAAGTGTACTCCTTTGATCCATAGGAAAAGTAGGGCCAACAGAGTTTATGGCCTACTTCTCCTTTAACATATCAGTGCTGTCTCTTCGGGATCTTGTCAGCAGTGAACATGGAGGCATCTGCACCCAGCTGACACCTCCATATATTTCATAACTGAATATTGCAGACCTCTGCATATGATCTGTAAGACAATTTGACACAATCTCATATAGAGCACTGCAAAGTTATTAGCAGATTTTCTGCTTGGTTTGGTGAAACAGCAGGAAGCCTGAGACCAGATTTCAGAAATGCCGATGTCATTCTGATAAAGTCTGCATCTTTCTGTAATGTATCCATAGCTGCCACAATGCATTAATGGTAACAACCCCCACTTCTTGTCAGCTTCTTGTCTGAATTACGTCCTGCAACTCTGGTTGTCTGTGCAGACAACAGAACTGTTTCCATCTCCCACTAGGAAAAGCGTAAGGAGATCTTTGACACAAGGACAGGGGAAGCTGGTGAGCACCGTTCTCACTGCATGTCAGAGCATTTATAACATATTAAGGGCCATATAGACTGATTTGCAGGATGTCACAGCTCATTTCATAGTGCTCACAACTTTTCTAGGAGGCCCAGAGGAGGAGACAACTTACACGCAACAGACACAGAAGTGGATGGCACGAAGGGAATGTGAGTTTAATTTACTCGGTGACAGAACCTCTGTCTTTGAGATGACAGGGCTTGGATTACTATGGGGACCCATAGTTGTGTGCAGGGGTGGACTGACAATTCATGGAGCCTCCTGCCAATAGGGGATAATGGGGCCCCTGTGTCCTTGCCCAAACTCAAAAAAGCCTATGAAAAAGGTACCAGGGGCACCTGATAAGGATGATTTTCCTTATCCCCTCAGAGACCCCCGGTCTGTGGAGAGATTCCTGGTTTATCAGCAGAATTCTGGGAACACCCTTTGAACACGGAAATAACGGCAGCTTATGTTCAGAGATGTTCAAAGTTTATTAGACATTAGTAAGATTATATAGAATACAGATAAAATAAGGAAGGGGGGAGCGAGTTTCAAAACTGTAACTTGTAAATTTCCCATCATGAGCTAACTACATGAAACATGACATATACATTTCTTGGTACAAATTGTTTTGGCTAACTTTCTGAGAAACAACCAGACAAAGACATTGTCAGGGTTATGTTAGCTTCTGTTGATACATCCTTGAGCAACTAAAACAGTTTCATTAAGCTTCTAATATATCTGGAAAAAGCTAACTTAATACTTAAAATGGCGTACATTAACAAAATGGAGGTTATCTAGATCCTTTCAATCCCCTCTGAGATCATGAACATGATCTCAATTCTTTACCTCATTCATCTTTTTTGTACATAGCCAGATAACCTTCATTTGTATTTTGCGGCTTGGTAGCTCTAGCAATGCAATATAATAAGCATTTAAAAACATAGATATAAAAGATAAAACAAAAAACAATATCATGACTATGCTTACAGCGATACCTTTCATCCATAAAAAGATGGAACCAAATCCTGATCCTAACCAAATCAAAAGGAGTCCATCCATCTTTTCCTATAGCTCTAGCTTCTTCCATTAAACTATCTACCTGTTCCCTGTGTTGCTTTATTATTTCATAATAATCTGGAAACAGTCATTGAGGTATTATATATCCAAGTACAACATTCATAATCCTCTATCATCTCACACAAACCTGTCAGAGCAGCACTCATACTTTCAATAGCTAATTCTTGCATCTCCAGCTGTTTTCTAATACAGTTGCAAGAAAAAGTATGTGAACCCCTTGGGATTACGTGGAGTTTTGCATGAATTGGGCATAAAATGTGCTCTGTACGTCATCTAAGTCACAACTATAGAAGAACACAGTCTGCTGAACATAATACTACACAAACATTAGATGTTGCCATGGTTTAATTGCACATAACATGTAAACATTCACAGTGCAGGGAGGAAAAAAGTATGTGAACCTTTGGACTTAATAACTGGTTGACCCTCCTTTGGCAGCAATACCCTCAACCAAACGTTTCCTGTAGTTGCAGATCAGACCTGCACAACGATCTGGAGTAATTTTGGACCACTCCTCTTCACAAAACTGTTTCAGTGTAGCAATATTCTTGGGATGTCTGGTGTGAATCGCTCTCTTAAGGTCATGCCACAGCATTTCAATCGGGTTGAGGACAGGACTCTGACTGGGCCACTCCAGAAGGCGTATTCTGTGCTTTTGCAGCCATTGTTTTGTTGAATTACTTGTATGCTTTGGGTCATTGTCCTGTTGCATCACCCATCCTCTGTGGAGCTTCAGTTGGTGGACAGATGGTCGTACGTTTTCTTGCAAAATGTCTTGATAAACTCTGGAATTCATTTTCCCATCAATGACAACAATCCGTCCAGGCCCTGAGGCAGCAAAGCACCCCAAACCATGATGCTCCCTCCGCCATGTTTTACAATGGGGATGAGGTTTTGATGTTGGTGTGCTGTGCCTTTTTTTCTCCACACATAGTGTTGTGTGTTCTTCCCAAACAACTCAATCTTGGTTTCATCTGTCCACAGTATATTTTGCCAGTAGTGCTGTGGAACATCCAGGTGCTCTTTTGCAAACTTCAAACGTGCTGCAATATTCTTTTTGGACAGCAATGGCTTCCTCTCCGTGGTGTCCTCCCATGTACTCCATTCTTGTTTAATGTTTTCCTTATTGTAGATGTGTCAACAAAAATGTTAGCATGTGCCAGAGATTTCTGTAGGTCTTTAGCTGACACTCTGGGAATTCTTCTTTACCTCATGCAGCATTCTGCGCTGTGCTTTTGCAGTCATTTTTACAGGACGACCACGCCTAGGGAGAGTAGCAACAGTGCTAAACTTTCTCCATTTGTAGACAGTCTGTCTTACCGTGGACACATGAACATCAAGCTTTTGGAGATACTTTTGTAACCCTTTCCAGCTTCATGCAAGCCAACAATTCTTGATCGTAGGTCTTCTGAGAGCTCTTTTCTGCGAGGCATGGTTCATATCAGACAGTGCTTCTTGAAACCAGTAAACCCAAAACAGGTGTGTGTTTTTTAAAGGGCAGGACAGCTGTCAGCAACACATCCAATATCATCACACTGATTCTAGTCAAGGTTGGCTCACTCCTGGCTCCAATTAGCTCTGGGAGAAGTCATTAAGCTAGGGCCTCACATACTTTTTCCTCCCTGCACTGTGAATGTTTACATGTTGTTGTGCAATTAAACCATGGCAACATCTAATGTTTGTGTAGTATTATGTTCAGCAGACTGTGTTCTTCTATTGTTGTGACATAGATGACGTTCAGAGCACATTTTATGCCAATTCATGCAAAACTCCACGTAATCCCAAGGGGTTCACATACTTTTTCTTGCAACTGTAGCTCTGGTCTCGGTATTTAGCAACCCTATGTCCTTAAAGTTCCTCTTCAGTATATCATCAATAATGTTTGTGTAATTATGTATTTTGTTCATGAGTGTTATTCCCCATCCCGTGTAGGTAGGGAACCATGACCAAACCTTATCGCCTGTAGAGAATAGATCTACCTTTTCTTGTTTGGTTTCCCTTACTCTGTCTCAGAGTTAGTTGGTGATTTGGGTATGTACTGGCTTTTACCTGGTGTTCCTTTTGGTCTATAGCTGCCATGATTGGCACTAATTGGGCTACATAGCACCAGCCCTGGACATTACTCGGTATCCAAGGGTAACAGATCTTACTACAACAGATATAGGTATTGTTTACCAAGGAGATCGGCAATTTTTGTATTGCAGAGCGAAATTTAGGGGTGACAACAAGTGTAAAATAAAAAAGAAGTTTTCCAAACATAGTTTTCCTCCCCACATTATCTTGTATCCCTTCTAAATTTTCATTCAGGGTTTCTACCATTTACTCGCCAGAGTTTCACAGAAGAAGTTCCATCCCTCCTTCCAGGATCATATATGTTTAATATGGACTGAGAGCACATTCCCTTTCCCTTGTGGGAAGTATTCCCCAGTCTAAAACACCAATCGGGGAGTTGAGTGACTCCCAGAATTAAAAAAGATATGGTGGCATTAGAAGTAATATTGGTCAAACCAATACTTACATTCCCTTTTTATTAACAAAAATATATTGACTGGAGCGGCCAGAAGAGGAATTTCATATGTGCTAGGATGTAACTTACTACATATCCAACATTTATCATAACCTGACTTTTGAGCATAAGCATATTTAAACTGCATCATCAACATTTTTCCTGAAAAAGGATTGTTCTCTTCAAAACTTCTTTTTGACTTTCTTTCACTTTTGGTTATCTGGGTGTCTCATTTAAAACTAGTCCTTGACCACAGATACCTTTTATTAGGCCCAAGTCCTCAGGGTGATAAATACAGTTAGTTAGGATCCATACTGGCAGGAAAAAGAGCACAGTCAGTGTGCCCAATAGGACCCAGAGCTTCAAAAGCACCATGAGGGGCAGTAAGGAATGTCATCTTCAGGGTCTTTCTCACCGACTTCACCCGCTCTTCGAGGATTTTCTACTTGTCCTTCACCTCCTTTTTCCGTTTCGTATTTCTCAGGTGTTTGGGTTTCACCTTCTTCACTCGACTGGGAATTCTCCACCAGAACAGTCGTTCTGGTAACCGCTATCACCGTAGTAGGTGGTCCAAGGGGTAGCCTTGCTTCTTGTCTTTAGCGAGTTGGTGGACTACTAACGACATCTCCCACTTGGAAAAGGTGTGTTGGTTCCTGCAAAAATAAAGGAAAAGTGCAAGCAACATTTCTTTCAACCTTATCTAAAGTTTGAATCAATTTTCTCACATATTCTTGTTGTACCAGGTCAAGGTCCCCTCTTTTCTAACATAAGTGACTGTCTAGCCCAAGGAGTAGGGAACAGTCTTCCCATTAATAATTTCAAAAGGGGATAACCCTGTAGTCTTATTAGGTGTCATTCTTACCTCTGCCAGAATTGCAGGTAACATCTTCTTCCAGTGGGTATAGGTTCCTCCAGTGGCCTTCCTCAACTTATCCTTAATTGTCCTGTTTTTTCCTTTCTACTATACCCGAACTTTGAGGATGATAGGGAATATGAAATTTCCAATCTATCTTAAGTACTTTTACCAAGTCTTGGCATACCTTGGCCACAAAAGCTGGTCCGTTATCAGAATTTTATCTGCAGCGGACATCCCCATCTGGGTATTAATTCCTGTTTAAGAATTCTGACTACAGTTTGTGCATCTTCTTTATTAATGACAAATGCTTCCACCCGTCTGCTAAACATATCCACCATTACCAACAAAAACTCTTGACTCTGTCCTGTTTTTGGCATGTGGGTAAAATCTATTTGTAAATGGTGAAAAAGGTGTAGATGGGTACACTAGATGCTGGTGTTGTGATTTCTTTGGGTTCTGTGGATTGTTCCTCCTTATAACATATAATGCACCTAGAAACATATTCTTTCAACCAACCTAGATAAGCCTGTAATGTAAAAATCCTGCAATAATGTTTCACATGTCGTTTTCCATCCTCTATGTCCTAGACCATGGTACTGTGCAATGAACAGTGGGGCACTTGACATGGGAATGCATGGTTTCCCCTCTAAGCACACTAGACCAGAAGCTGGATCTAGTTGTGCTCCAGAACCATTCCAGTCTGCTAAATCGATTTTTGTAGCAAATTTTTGTAAATCTGCATACATCTGGTCATGTGGGGTAGTTGTGATGCCTGAAGTGAGCAAAGGCATCTGTCACTGCCACCTGTTGTAATGCAGGTTCCTTTGCTACCTTATCTGCTAATGCATTTCCTTTGGCAATATGATCTCTGCGATTTGTATGTGCCCTGCAATGAAGAATGGCTAATGTTTTTGGTAACTGTATGGCTTTGAGTAGATCAGATATCAAAGAAGAGTGAGATATGGTTTTGCCATCAGCAGCAATGAATCCTCTTCTTTCCCAAATGACCCCAAAATCGTGTACAGCACCATGGGCGTACTTGGAGTCTGTGTAAATGTTGACATCCTGTCCTGCAAATAATTGACATGCTCTTGTAAGGGGCAATCAGTTTGGCTGCTTGGGCTGACTGATAATGGAATTGGCTTTGCCTCGAGTAATTTTGTCAGGAAGTTGCACAATGGCATATCCTGCATGGTAAATGCTGAGGGGGTGGTAAGTATTATCATTTGGCCTAGAGCATGAGCCATCTACAAACACATCTGGGGCCCCCATCAAGAGCCACAGCTGACATGTCGGACCTAGGGGAAGTGTCTTGCTGTATGTGGGTTATACAATTGTGTTCTGGTGCAACTTCATCCTGTTCCCCCTTTAGCCCCAATAGGGCATTCAAAATTGGAGCAGGACCTGAATTTGCTGAAGAATATTTTAATAATCAAGTTGGGATCAGATAGAAGAATCACTTCATATCCGCTCAACCTTTGTTCTGACATGTGTTGAATGTGTATGTTTTTCAGTAGTAAGGACACTTGATGTGTGGTGTGTAGGGTAGTTTCATGTCCCAATGTGAAAGAAATAGCCATCTCCACCAGAATCGCGCAGGATGCAATAGCTCTCAGACAAGCAGGCATGCCCTGAACCTGAATTGGCACTACTTTGGAAAAAAAAGCTACAGAGCGGAGCTTGCCTCAATGGTCCTGAGCCAGGACCCC